TGTGTGTGTGAGTGTGTGTGTGTGTGTCAGTGTGTGTGTGTGTGAGAGTGAGTGCGTGCGAGTTTGTGTGAGTGAGTTTGTGTGTGTGTGTGTGTGTCACCTCTCGAGCGATGGTGGTGATGAAGGCGGGAGGTCTGGCAGTGGCGATCAGGGAGAGGGCATGCCGGGCCGATCGGGCTGAATCAGCGCCGGGGCTCAGAGGAAGACCCATTGAGATGCTAAACACACAAATATAGAGTCAAACCATTACACACACATTATAATGTGAGCCCGGGGTCAATGGAGTCACTCACACACATCACAGCACACACACACTGATCTACATCTGTGAGAGGCCCCTTGTTAACAAATCACCCCTTGTGTGTGTGTGTGTGTATGCATCAGGACACACCAAGCGACTCACGCATGACAGCATGTGATCAAAGCGTGAGCCGTGACTTTAATATTCTCTGTGACACGCGTGGCTAAAACACGCTAACACACACACGACAGCTCAAACCCTGCTGACCGACGAGAGAGAGAGAGACAAACAACCGGCCAGAAATACACTGTGAAAAAAAAACAGAATAAAAGTGAAAATAAAGGCTTTTTATTTAGAATAAATTATGACTGCTACTTATTCTCAAGGAAAAAAGTCTTACCATAATATATCAAATATGAAATGTTATTCCTGAAACCACGTTTTACTTTTAATGATTCATTAATTAATTTATTCATTAAAAAATATTATGCAGATGAATCACTATGTTCTATGATATATTATATATTTTATGCATCTGGAGAAAACAACTATCCTAGTTTTTAGAAAAATATTATATTATATTATATTATATAATTGCCTGCATTCAGAGAAAAAAAATATTTTAAAAAATCTGAACTTTATATTAAACGTTATATTTTACGTTTATTAAATAACGTTATATTAAATAATATTATATTAGATACTTTTATGCATGTGGAGAAAAAATAAATTTGGTAAAAAATATATGCTTAAAAATATAA